TTCTGGCCCGACAATCCTGCGTATGCGGAAAACCAGAAGGAGGGAAACTTGGTGCCATGTTAATGCTGCCCAAATATACACAATGAAGTCAGACTGAAAGCAATGAAATTGCAGACGCTCCTCATGAGCTAAGAGGACCATTTTCCTTAACCAGTGACCTTCAATTACAGAGTAGCAAGCAAATTAGTAGAGACAAAAAAGAAAAACCTGTTAGCCAGAAAATCTTACTGGCTAAAGCTTGTCTTGTTTCAGTTCCAGTTTCCATAGCTTTTCGGTAAAATATGTGCTGTCTCTTTCTCTTTTGGAGTACTGGTGTTAACTGGAAATGTTGATTCTGGGAACAATGAATTCCTTCTTATCAAATGGGGTTTACAACTGAGTTTTTCATAAAACTTCAAAGGTTTCTGAGTACTTGAAGGATCTGAATCATTGCCTTGAGCCTACTGATGTCACAGAGATCAAGTTAGGAAAAAATTCAACACAAAAAATGGCAAGGGCAGGAACGGCTAAATACAAGTGTCATTTCTCAGTTCACAGATCTTCAGCATTCCTTGTGCTCATGCTGGTTTGTCTGTAGGTTGGAGTGACTGTGAAGCAGGCTGTAAATTTACAGTGCAGCAGTTTGGTGACCCCTATACAAAGAGGGGGGCTTACCCTGAACTATAGTCTTCTGAAAGGCAGGAATCTGATCTTACCCAGTTCAAGTTGTTCATACAACCTGAAAAATTCACAAATCCAGCTGAATTACATGGTGTCAATCCACTTCAAGAGGGAACTAGAGAAGATAACATCATCTACCAGCAAAGGGTGGCCACACAGGGGACCAGCACTCTTCAAATTCACAAGCTGACTTAATTCCCTCGATAGACAAGCCCAGACAGCAAATAACATATGTCCTTCTTAACTGTGAAATTAGAGATGTTTCTATTTTTTTTCTTCTTTTTATGGCTGATATGCTATACATCTTTTGTGACCTAATTTACCAGTTCCTCCACCTCAACCTTCGAATCCTATAATCCAAATCAAGTATAGGAAAAGCTCCATTCTTCCTTCTCTGGATGCAGTTTGACAAAAGGGATTTTCCTTTTTGTATATTAGCCCCATGTATATGCCCCAGATCTACAAAACAAGCCAAAGTCTCAATAAAAAAAAATTAGACACATCCACTTAAAAGATAAAACAAGCCACACAGTTAAAACAAAGATAATCATGTAGGTATAAGCTTTCTCTTGACAACATTATTAGCTAAATATATTTTCTCTTTCTTCAGTATATATTGGCATGAAATCTTTTCCCCGAGATTTCTGAGTGGTATTAGAGAAAAAGGTTGGGGCAATACTGCAGGTTTTCTCCTACTTGGTCAAATCTGACACACGTTCCTGCTACTGGCACCACCACACTGCCTGCAGATTAACAGTTTTCTTTAAGCCTCCATTTTCAAAGTGTTCTCAGTTCAGATCATCAGCTCCTACAATTTACAGAGAGAGATTCATTTCTAAGGGACAGCTGTAATAGCGTGGTAGAATGCCAGATTGTTGCCTTTTTGCTACTAATATGTTTGTTTTCAGAGCCAATCGATCTTTTTAAGATTCCTCTTCCCCTTAGTTTGACATAAATCTCTTAATGACGAGTCTCTGAGTGTTCTCTAAATGCAACATGTGGTGAACTCTACGTCCCAAGACTGAAGCCACAGTCTTCCCACTGTTTGTTGCTTGGGCTCAATAAACATCACGCTGATATATTGAGATGACTCAGTGAGGCAGTGTTCACCTGCCAGCACCAACTCACTGGTTGGGACTTGTGAATTTTTCCAGATATCAGACAGGCTGGAAGAGCAAAGCCATTTATAGACCTGGTGATTATAATGATGCATGGGAACAAAAATAGATTTACAACAGTAATAACATCCAGGACAGCAATACAAATAGTGAGGATAAAAACCAGAGAAAGATAAATACCTGTCTGGAAATATGTCTACTAGTGAATCAATAAGTTGATATTCTAGCCAAAGCACATCACTGCAAATTGAAAGCAACGTAGTGTTGGTAACCTTCAGCCTGCCCAATGCAAGTTGTCCTTTTTCTCCAGTCTTATGTACTGTTACAAGTTGCAGTGAACCACTTCTGTTAACTAGAGGGCTGTTTCTACACCATTTTAACTAATGACTATTAAAATAAATTAGTTGTATTCCCGTAACATGGAATGGAGTACTTAATGCCTGTAATACTCAACACTTCAGATTTGTTAGTGAAAGAAGAAAACCTGATTTTTTAGTTTCTTTTCCTATAACAGTTTGCAATCTTCTATGAATAATGAATACTTGAAGGCACTTAACTTTCAAAAAATAATTTCAGGCTGTGTCTCTTCTCTATTATGGCATGTTGTGACAAACGCGGTTCTTTTAAACGCTGCTGAGAACAACTTGATTGTAGCATGGACAAGTGTTTATTACAGGGTTTACTGCCTTGTCCCATGATTCTATGCTCTGCAAACGCAGTTCTTAACTAATTCCCAAAGGCAAAGTGGCAACGTTGTAAAACAGTTGTGAAAACATTCAAACTGCAGTTTAAACCTTGTTAAAGCACAGTTCTTCTTTGGAAAGTGACACTGAAAATGGCAGTGTGGGATCCTGTATTTATTGTGTATGTGTGATTTCAGGATCAAACATGCTAAGTACAAGCACACAGTTCTCTGCTAACATCCACAGCCAGCTCTACAGAGATTAGATGGCCGAAAAGTTCATGTTCATGTCTGGTAAAGGTGATGGTCTCCTTAGCAGCAGTCCCAACACACTGTCATCTTTGAAACAGATACACCTTGTCCCCCTTTCATTTAGCTGAATGAGCTTGAGGAGGATCTGTTTTCTTCTGATTAACCTCTGCCAGTTTTTTCACTGCTTAAGGATGAAAAACATCTTTTCAGAGAAGTCAGCACATGTAACTCTGAACAAAATTATACACAAAATAGTAGTGTTGAAGAAGATCCCTCTTCTTAGCAACAGCACCATTTTCAGCTGAAGAATTTCAATGGCTTTCTAATTTGTTTTCTGCTCTGGTTAATTGCATAAAATATTTCCATCTCTAGAAAATTCTGATATGAACGCTATTGTCCATACACATTAACCTGTTTAAATAGGCTTATGAGCTATAGTTTTATTTCTTGACAGAGCCGGCTGTTGGGCATTTATGGGTAGTACCAGCAATGAGAAGACATAGCCCCATCCAAAGCCCACTTTAGTGGCTTTGGAAATTAGTTAACAGTGTCAATTAAACACAAGGAGCTTGCTATGCAGTTGCTGCTTTTCTTTCTGCTGTATCTGACATGACAGCAATCAGCCTCACCTCCCTCCCAGGATCCCCTGACCTGACACCGGAGCTGCTTCCAATCAGAAGAGACATGACGCCATGTCCAGCTCTTGGCCTTTGAGAGGATAAAAGTAGTTTAATGTAAACTTCTACTTCTGAACTTAACAACTTCTGCTGATGGAGTTGCTGTAGCATTATGGTTGACACTTGAAGTTGGTCCCTGCTTGGAGAACACCATACTCACACAAAGCTATCCTAACATGCTCAAAGATGTCCATGTCAGGAACAATCCTTCCCACTGCTCCACATGCTCAAAGATGTCCATGTCAGGAACAATCCTTCCCACTGCTCCACAATGAAAATGTGGGAATGTACAGGTAAAATCCATCTATTGGCACTACTGTGCTTTTACCTGGGTGACACATTCATAAATATATTTAAGAATAAATGCTAAAGTATTAAAAAGTTGTGAAAAGATTACAGGAACATTTGCATCATCCATTCCAGGTACAACACTAATCAAGTGGTGACTACTACCCATCAAATACCAGCAATGCTACCTCAGGTGGTCGGCTTTCTGTGCCAGTTTTCACACCATTTCTCACAGAGAATTTACCACTAATTCAAGTGTCTTGAATTTTTATCATCCTGGCAAGTGTAACCAGAATCTGTTTCAATCTTAGGTTATGCTTGATGCACGTTCAAATGGCTATAGATTTGTAAGGAGGCACGTGTGAGGCTGTCCTTGAAGATGACGGTTTCCAGACAATACAGCTGAATTTTTATGAAACAATATGCAGACTGTTTCCATGTAACTCTTGCCAATCCTGCTCAGCCTTGTGACTCAAAGGGGAGAAACTGCACACCCACTGCCAACAGGGGCCCCAGTTCTAAATGCTCAAGAGCTGGCATATCCAGAGCTGAGGTTTTGGTCTGGCCTGTGAAAAGGGAGAAAAAACCATCTGTGAAATCTGGAGGCACATCAGGTTTGGCTTCTTCCCCAGGATCCCACAGGCTCCCATAATCCTTTATAGCTATCTGCAGGTTGGGAAAATAAATCCTTTCTCTGCACCTTCCTCTGCTCCACACCTGGCACACACAGGCTCCCCGGGGCTTCCATGGAGCCCTCGGAGCAATCCCGGGAAGCACGAACAGCAGGGTTTGATCCTTATGGCTTCAGAAAAATGGCCTTCTCTAACTTAAACCGGGGAGCAGGTAAAACAGCGCCCTGGGTGGGACTTCTCCTGGGGCAGGAGCATGCTGAAGGCACGACTGTCGCTGGAAAATCACAGCAAGGGCCCCGTGTCGCCGCTCGCCCGGGCCTCTCCCGAGCCAA